TACCTAGTTTTATATTCAAATGATTGAACATAACATTATTCATAATAGCTTTTATCCTGCCATTAAAGGGTTTTGATCCTGATGCTTAAATAATGATTTTTTACAGAGAGAAAGGGAGAGAGATAGAGAGTTAGAAACATCGATGAGAGAGAAACATCGATTAGCTGCCTCCTGCACATCTCCTACTGGGGATGTGCCCGCAACCCAGGTACCTGCCCTTGACCGGAATCGAACCTAGGACCTTTCAGTCCGCAGGCCGATGCTCTATCCACTGAGCCAAACCCGTTTCGGCCTGATGCTTAAATAATGACTCTTCATCTTTGACGTTATTACCATATATTACTAACATTAACAGCATATTACCATGACTTTTGTTCTTTTTATTGTTTTATATAGTTAGCTTTTGGAAACTCTAAAATTAAGTTTTATTTTAACTTAAATCATGAAAGTAAAAAACAAGTGGAACCACTAGGCTTACAACAAAAGCAGCAATCTCCGGCTTCTTCCCTTCTTACTCCTGAGTCAATTCCTCACTTTTAAATACGAGTAAATAATCAAAGATCACTGGACATTCCAGAAAAGCCACTAACCCAAAAGACAAATATAAAAAGAACCCTAAAGGAAATAGAGACAATACAGGGTCAAATGAGAAGTTAAAAATGTTTATGTAAATCATATATGTGTGTGTGTGTGTATCTATATATATAAAAGCCTAAGCGACCGAACAACCGGTTGACCAGTTGCTGTGATGCGTACTGACCACCAGGGGGCAGGAGCTCAACGCAAGAGCTGTCCCCTGGTGGTCAGTGTGCTCCCACAAGGGGAGCACCGCTCAGCCAGAATCTGGCTCACGGCTGGCAAGTGCAGCGGCGGTGGTGGGAGCCTCTCCCACCTCTGCAACAGCACTAAGGGTGTCCAATTGCCGGCTTAGGCTTGCTCCCCAGTCGGACATCCCCTGAGGGCTCCTGGACTGCAAGAGGACACAGGCCAGGCTGAGGGACAGCCCCCCTCGCCTGAGTGCATGAATTTCATGCACCGGGCCTCTAGTATATATATATATATATATACACACACACACACACACACACACACACTCACACACACACATATATATATATACACACACACACACACACACACATACTAGTATACGTATATATGTATATATGTTTATGTGTGTGTGTGTGTGTGTGTGTGTGTGTGTGTGTATGTGTGTATATGTATAGCTCTATCCATAAAACAAGGATAAAAATTTTATGAAAAAGGAACAGAATAAGAAAGAGCTCTTATTTAGATGACCATAGTGAATATTTGATGGACAGAGTTTGGAAATAAAGTCAAGAAAAACTCCCAACCTCAATAGATTCCTCTATTAATGCACAGATGATCAACATGATTAGCCATCAGGAAAATGCAAATCAAAACCACAATGAGATATTACTTTATATCCACTCGGATGACTATAATCAAAAATACCAATACTGTTAAGAGTTGGTTAGGATGTGGAGAAATTAGAACCCTCACGTGGGAATGTTAAATGGTATAGCCTCTGTGGATAACAGTTTTGCAGGTTCCTCAAGTTACTAGCATTTCCACTCCTAGGTATATATCCAAAAGAAATAAAAATATACCTATATAAAACTTGTACACAAATGTTCATAGAGCAGCATTATTCATAGTAGCCCCCAAATGGAAATAACCCAAATGTTCATCAACAGGTGGCTGTATAAGTAAAATGTAGTATGTCCATAAAATGGAATGTTACTCAGAAATAAGGAATGAAGTACTGACATATGCTACAATATGGATAAACCTTGAAAACATTATGCAAAGCAAAAGAAGCCAGACACAATTACCATGTATTATAGTTATGGGGTTTCTTTTCAGTGATGGTTGCACAATACTGCCAACACTGCGAGTGTACTAACTGCTACTGAACTTTAAAAGAGTGAATTTTATGGCATAGCTCAAGTCTTTATAGTGTGGGGGAAAATAAGAAAAAAGAAAAAGCTTTCTAGAAAGAGAACAAAAAAATAGATACTAGGAGAAATAGATCAGAGACTGAGGATCAATCCAGCAGGTCCAACATCTGAGTGACAGGAATTTCACAGAGAGAAAACAAAACAAATGGAAGAGAGGAAAGTATTTTTTAAAATTAATGAAAGACTATTCTCAGAAATGGAAGACCCAAGTCCCCACATAAAGGGTGTCCCAAAATTCACGCAAGAAGTAATTTTGATAGAAAACACAGGTTTATAATTAAAAATTGTAAATTTTTTATTGATTCATAAAGTATACAGTATAGGGTTATGTATGGAATAGAATATCGGGTAAATGGCCTCCACAGCTTTGCTGGCACATACGCACTCTTTTGTTGAAATTTTCCATGACTGAAATGTGGCTGCTCAGGCAATAACAGTTAATGGTGCTTGCTATCACGACATGATAATCCAGTTTTTTTGTGCCGTGGAGGCCATTTACCCGTGAATTTTGGGACACCCTTTAGAAATGGCCTATTTGTTACTGGCACAATAAGTGGACAAAGACCCATTCCATAGCACATCATTGAGAAGTTTCACAAGATAAATAAAGTGAAGATCCTAATAGCTTCCAAGATAAAAAAAAAATACAAAGGACAAACTTTTCATTACAAACAATGAAAGTTAACACATTACATACAGCCCTTAAGATTCTGAGGGAAAACTATTTTCTACTTTATTTATATATATATAAATTGTATATACATATAAATACATTTATATATAATTTTTATTTATTACTTTCAACTCTACACCCAGCAAACTGTGTGAGGTCTGAATTAAAGACATGGCAGTTTCCAAAAATTTACCTCCAGTTGAAGGTATGCTCTAGTAAAATGAGGGATTGATGACAAGAAAGCAAAAGAACATGTGGTCCAAAAAGCATGATGTCCATCATGGGAAAGTGGCCAAGGGCAGTCCCAAGACCAAAAGGGAAGTCATTGGACAGCAGCTTAGGCAGCAGGCCCAGAAAGCTACCTGGCTAGATCAGAGCAGAGGATAGGAGAGGACAGCAGGGAAAACAGGAAATCATGTGTGCACATCTGGAGGGTTAGCAGATCTGGTGGAGCATATGAAAAAATTACAAATAAGAGTTTAGAAAATAAAGTATATAAGAAAGATGGGGCAACTATTCATTCTAGGAAAAACAAAATGTGTAAGAAAAGAAAATAGCCCTAGCTGGTTTGGCTCAGTGGATAGAGCGTCAGCCTGCGGACTGAAGGGTCCCAGGTTCGATTCCAGCCAAGGGCACATGCCTGGGTTTTGGGCTCAATCACCAGTGAGGGGCGTGCAGGAGGCAGCCAATTAATGATTCTCTCATCATTGATGTTTCTATCTTTCCCCTCCCTCTTCCTCTCTGAAATCAATAAAAATATATTTAAAAAAGAACAAGAAAAGAAACCATAATATATTATTTGGTTCTGCAGTGAACAATATATACATGCTCATAGTAAACAGAAATATTGGTTGTTATTTAACCCAAAACTGTGATGTAATATATGGAGGGTAGGACAGGAGGTGGAGGTGACAGAGCTAAATACTCATCTATGATAGCAGGAAATTAATATATAATGATAATGAATTTTAGAGTTGAAATAAAAGGTAATCACATTAAAAGAAGAAATGTGAAGGTAAGTACAAACACAGAATATGCAGCTGATGAGGCTGACAGTGGATAAGGCTAAGGTAGGGCAGTGGGTTGGGTGGCTTGTTAGCCTTTTAGTGCTCTCACTGATCCTTGTCTCCGTTCCAATTTTTAAAATACTATTGTAAAAAGTAATAGGTATATACCTCACAACAGTTCCCTGCACACACACAGTGGGAACTGACCCAGCTGATGTGGCTCAACCAAGAGGTCATTGGTTCAATTCCCAGTCAGGACACATGCCCAGCTTGCGGGCTGGACCCCCGGTAGGAGGGCATGCTGGAGGCAGCTGATCGATGTTTCTCTCTCATCAATGTTTCTAGCTCTATCTCTCTCCCTACCTCTCTTTCTAAAAATCAATATAAACAACCAAGAATGCTAATGCTTTAGTTAAAAAAAAAGATAGGAACTGGCCTAGAGGACAGTGAAAACAGTGACTCTGAAGCACTCTTTGAGTCATCAGAGGGTGCTTCTTCAGGCCCCATCCCATCAGGGGTCAGTGAGATGCTGGCTCCGACCCTCTGGATACCTTGCAGACCTGGTCTTCTTGGACTTTCTGTGCAAGGGGCTGGCTGAAGACTGCAGCCTTGGCTGAACCAGGCCAATACAGGTGTGGTTCCTGGCACTGTGGCCTGGAGCTTCCCACAGGAGCCTGCCTCCAAATCACCACTCTCCTATATATTAACCACCTGTGAATTTAGGCTCCCTACATATTTCTAGTTTTCTTGAACTAATTTCTCAGGGGAATATTTAGAAATAGGCATGGTATAGATAGAAACATAAGTGGAAAAGTAGATGACTTCTGTCTCACCGATTCATAGTTCCTTGAACCCTGTTGAGGCCCACAGATCCTTTTTGCTAGGTGCTCAACACAGAGCTGCTGAAGGCATAATCATGGTACCGTAGCACTCTGTTGGGTCCTTTACATGACTGCCACATTCAATCCTCACAATGTGCTTGCTTATGCAGCTAGAGAGTAGGATTAGCTCTACATAACATAAGGAAACAGGCTCAGAGTAACCTGAACAAGGTCACTTCCCTAGTAAGGAAAGAGCTAGGATTCAAACCCAGGTGTGACTGACCCCACAGCCTACTCAACTGGCAGCTATGGCCATAAGTCTTCTCTGGAAAAAGATTTGGCTAGGTAGATGGATAGATGGGGAAAAAAAAAATAAGAGATAAGCTCACAGCTGATGCAGGAAGAGAATCTGAAGGACCCTTCCCACTAGGAGGCTTGAGGCCGTCTGGTCAGAAGCTGGAGAACTAGTGTCCATCCCTTCTCCCCTCACCCAGGACAATGTCCTTGTAGCACCTACCTTCTTCAGAGAGGTTGTTCTCTTTGGTCTCCTTGTCCATCTGACAGCACCAGCCTTCCAGCCGCTCTGTTTCTGCCTGCAGCAGCTTCAAGAACCAGTAGCCATCTCGGCGGCAGGTCCCTGACTGTGTTGGCTCTGCCGGGGAGCTGGAGGAGGTCTCAAGCCAGGGGTCGGGTGGGGGCAGTGACGATGCCTCTAGGGCAGGGTCGCTGTTGTCTCCATAGGAGAGGTTGCGCTTGATCTGGGCAATCTTGGGGGCCTGCCGAGGGCCGGCATCAATGCTGATGGAGTTTGAGTTGGGGTGTGGGGTACAGTCTGGGAGGCTTCTCTCAGATGACTTACAGCTCGAGTCATTGGCATCCTGGGTATCTGAGTCGGTGTCCCGTCGGGAGGACATGCTGTGAGAGGGGACGCTGCTTCTGTGGGTGGGGGGTGGAGTGGGGTGGGGACAGGAAGAGATAAGAGTTACCAAGAGAGCCAGAGATCAGAAGCCACCCCAACCCGGACACACGGGAGACAGAGAAACGGATGCATCATCTGCTCACCATGCGCTTGAAGCGGGTCCCACAGCCCCCGTCTCATTCTCTGCTCAGCCCTGGCCCCGCCCACACCCACACGCATACACACACAAGGACAAGGTCATAAGGTTGTCTGTTTGCTGCAGTGGGGCCAGGAAGACCACCAACGTTGGGGTAGCTCACATCTCAGCCCAGCTGTGGCCCCGTGGGCTGATTCATCTCACAGAGCAACTGCTCATTTACCCACCCACCTGCCTGCCCGGCCTCCCATTCCTGGGCCACAGCCCACACCCAAACCCAGCTTGGTTATTAGAAATTCAGCACGGAGAAGTGGGTTAGGGAGAGCAGGAGGAGAAGGCACAGGGGAGGTGAGAGCAGAGGGAGGAAGAGGAGAGGGGAGAAGCAGCCACCACCTCCATACGACTTACCGCCAGTCGTCCTCTACCTGAACCCCGATGGACTGGAATTTGGTAGCGAGACTGGGCTCCTCTTTTGGCACTGGCTGAATGCAGTCAACCTTATTGAAGGACAAGGACAGCAACGGCACGGAGACAAAGACAAAAATAAAAAACAAACACCACACTTGATGCTGAAATTCACATTAGTGGGACGACGCAAACGGACATTTGGACAGACAAACACGAGGCATGCGGACACTGCACGTGGGCCCAAGGCCGGACCAGGTTAAGCCGGGCACTGCTCATTCGCGCGGAGGCGGGCAGGAGGTGGGATGGGGTGGAGATGACTGGCTTTCCCTACTCTGAGGAGGGTGCCATCACATCGATCGCTTTGGGTCCGTTGTCCTCCGAGAGGTGGGAACCGTTCCTTCTAGTCCTCTCCTTTACACGCATCAGAGAGAGAGAGAGAGAGAGAGGGAAAGGACGACGAAAGAGAAAGAAAACACACACACACACACACAAAGCCACAGCCGTTATCTGGTGTAGTTGAAGATGGGGCTGTCTCAAGGCAACAGTGTTCAGTTCCCCAACCCTGCAGCTGAAGGACAGGCTGGAGGTACCTGTACTAGGGGCAAAACTTGGACAGCAGTTCTGGGTTTGAAAATGGTCACCAATGGGAAAGATGGCAAAGTCCCTGGACTCTATAAGATGCCATTCCTGGGCCTCACTCACACTTGGCTGAGGTTACCTTTAGCACTGGTCTGCCTGGCAAGCGGTAGGAAGGGCCAGGGCCAGGGCCAAGTGCAAAGCTAGCATTCTTTGTCTATACTCCTGTGAAGTAGAAGGAAACACAGCAACGATAATGCCCTAGGCCTGCCTTTCTTTTCTGGGATAAAGGTGTATGGCCATGGAGTAGCCAGGCCAGCCCTTCCATGATTGTCATGAATGAGGGAGAACCCACACTTGACTCAGGGCTTGAGGCACAAAGGAATGGGACAAGGGCTGCCAGGTTATCCTTGGAAATTGGAGACTCTCCAGTCTCTTGGCTCTATGGAAGAAGTAGGGGCCAGGGAGCTTTCTGGGGCAGGGGACCGAGCACCAGGCTCCTCCTCGCCATGGGGATGTGGCCACATTTCTCCTTCAGCAAAAACAAGCTTGGGAAATGCAGCATCACTGGACAAGAGCACGGAATGAGGGTAGAGGTGGATCCGGGAAGGGGAAGCCCAGGATGGGCCCAAGAACTACAGTCCTTATCCCTGTGTATACTTCTGAGTAAAGGAATCAAGGATGAGCCTAACTCTCCTTCAGACCTTCCAGAAAGGTGAGAGCATCTGGTTTAGCCAGGAGAGGACAGAGCTACCCAAAGACTCTGGGCGGTCAGGACTAATGGTCAGAGATGAGGCTACTTTCTGTGTTCCTGGGAATCCCTCCTGGAGCACTGTATAGGGCAGGGGTTGGATCCCTCATGAAGGAGCCCAAAAAACAGGAGTGTCTCCTGGCCAACTCTCTCCTTATATATGCAGAGAAACTGAAATCCAGAGCTGCCTCTTGGGGGGGAAAAATTTCAGGCAAGTGCAAGAAATTGCTCAGTGAGCCTTGTTTGGTCCATTCAGTCCCCCTTTGTGTACCACGTTCCTTTGGCATTCTAGTGCTTTGTTATCTACTTGGCCATGTCCCTGCTCAGGGGCGGCTGGGAAAATGGAGATCCCTTCCAAACCTAAGCCACAATGCACACCACCTTCATCTTCCTGACTGTCCCCTGGGGTTGAGGTGGGGGGTGGGGGGGGAGAAGGAGTGAGTGGGGGCGGGGGCGGGTCGGGAGGGAGTTCCACCTCCTCAAGCTCTTGGCCCACTGTAGCTGCCTTTTCTGCCAAGTGTGCTCCACTTTAGTCTGGAGGTCTAGCCAGAGTAAGGAGAATCCTCTCAATCTGGATTTAGAGCAACTCTTAAAAACTGCAAGGCAGGGCCCAACTTTTCCCAGCTCTACTAATAGAAACAGATTGCTGACACTAGGTGCATGCAGGAGGTGCAGTGAAGCAGTGGAGGGGAAGCTAGTGCACCCAGCCCTGCTGTGTGTCATCATGGCCATGGGTGCACAGTGAGTTGGGCTTCCAGTGAGCAGACCTGGCTCTGGCCACTTGGTCCTGGAAAGTTATCTCCCTGGATCCTTTCCCATGGAGGGAGGCATCTGGAACGGCATCACACTTCTCAATCTGACGTAGGCCTGGTGCCTTGAGCCACCTACCTGTCCCCAGGGTCCAAGAGGGCTCTGGGCAAAGTTCCCCTTGAGTATCCCCTGTGGCTCAAGGGCCCTGGGTCCTGGGCCCCGGCCCATCCGTGTCTATGCTCCATGCTGCTCCCACTGCCAAGTGGGACTGTGACCTCCACACCTGAGTTGACCTTGGATTAGAGAACTGTTAGGCCAGTCCCGCCTCCCACGCATTGGCTGGCAGGGCAAAAGGTGGAGTGGACAGACAGTGGACAAACAGCGGACAGGAGATGGCTGGCTGAGTGTAACTACATTCACTGGGATGACCCATTGGAGGAGGAAGGACAGGTATCCACGGTTGCAGACTTTGCAGCACGTGTGGGCAAACTCAAGGAAGGTATGGCTAAGGGTGGAATTTGATTTGGCCACTTGTGACTAGATCCCCCCAAATACACAGATAAACCACTTTCACCCAGGAGACGTAGTGGGCCTTCACCAGATGTAATTACACGCAGACAGGTGCACAGAGCGAGTTGATGACACAGAGTGCAAAAAGGGGCCCCTACTTGTATTCCTATAGATGACAGTTTCCTTTTGGGGATGGCCTCAGGATGGGATTCGGAGCTGGTCAGTGTCCCTTGTTCACTCTTCAGAGCTGCATATTTTGGGGGTGGTTCTGGGGCCTCAGAAGCTGAGGTGACTCCACCCCGTGTCACACTGGGCGGTCGAGTACTGCTGTCCAGGCTGTCCGACGAGTTGCTCAGGCCCGACTGGCTTGTCACCTCACTCTTGTGGTCCTGGCTGTCCAGGTAGGTATCCTGGGCAGACTCAGTACTGCTCTGGACCGTGACTGAGATGAACGGCTTTGATGTGGTACGTGGAGGGACCGGTGGTGGGGTCTTCTTATACGCTACTAGGCATGATGAACCTGCAGATGGATGAGAGGAGGGCAAGGGACAAGGTGAGGCCCCCCAACTCTCTTAAGCCCCTTTCAAGTCTGAAGCCCTACCTGACCTGGCTCTAGCCCTGGCCTCAGCAGTTCCCTCAGCAAGGATTTCTGGAGCAGGAGAATGAGGATTAGACACAGCAATGACCAAGACAGACATAGGCCCTGGCCACCCTCATGCTAGGCGCCAAGGCCAAGTCTAGTGGGGGAAGCCAACGTGGACCAAAGACACCCTCCACCTCACTACAGTCACACACAATGGTATTATCTAGCTGTGGAATGGGCTAGGAGGTGAAATTCATGGTGCCAGAGGCTGTGACAGAGCCTGACAGGGGAGGCAGTAGCACCAGAGTGAAGGTCAGGACGGCTAAGGAATGGTTGACCTTGCTTTCCTCAGGCTCACTGAGAGACCTACTGCTCCTTTCCTTCTACTCTACTTTCCCTCTACCCCTGTTCTTTCTACTTGGATGTCCCATCTATGTCTGAGCAAAGACCAACACATCCCTCAGGGCCCAGCTAACCCTTTTCCCATCTTGCCATTCCCATCCCACCTCCTCCTCTTGTGTGAAAACCTATACACCAGTTGCCTCCCTCAAGACACCATCACATCTGGTCTGACTTTCCGTTCTCCACCAAGATTCAGGGAACCAGGACCTGCCATGGGTGGGAGTTGATGTAATCTTTGAATCCCATTCCCAGCATGTCCTAGGGCTGGCTCACAGCAGGGGCACAAAACACCAAAGGCCCACAGATGGCTTCTTAATGCTGAACTTTTTGCTCAAAATGGAAGGTGCTTTTCTTCTTTTTAAATGTGTTTATTTTTTTGAGAGAGAGGAAGGGAGAGGGATAGAAATTGAAGCATCTATGAGAAACATCAATCAGCTGCCTCCTGCATGCCCCCTACTGGGGATTGAACCTGTAGCCTGAGCATGTGCCCTAATCAGGAATAGAACCAGTAACCTTTTGGTTTAGGGGTCGACACTAACCACTGAGCAAGACTGGCCGGGCTGGAAGGTGCTTTTCAAACAGCAGGAGCTACTTGCTGTGAGGGGCTGAGTTAGATCCAGTGGTTTTTCTCAGCATCTTAACCTCAACTGCCTTTTCCCCATGAGGACTGGAACAAGCCTCTCCACGGGTCCAGGCCAGGCTGGGAGCAGGAGCCAGATGAGTGAGGTTAAGCCTAACTTCAAGGAGCTACCAATTATGCAAAGGGCGAAGGCCCAATGGAATCTCACAAAACGAGGCCCAGGTGCCACAGGGGCTATGGACAAGACACAAAATCTCTCCATCTGTCACTGTGGATTATCACTAAACTAATCTAACAGAATGGCTAAAATAAAAAACAGTGACAACACCAAATCCTTGCAACGATGCAGAGAAACTGAATCACACATACTGCTAGTGGAAATGTAAAATGACATAATCACCCTGGAAAATGGTTTGGTAGTTTCTTTTAAAACTAAGCATGCAATTACCATACAACCCAGCAATTTACTCTTGGGCATTTATTCCATAGAAATGGTAAAGTTCTCACAATGGTAAAGTTTTCACAAAAACCTAAACGTTCATGGCAGCTTAATTTGTAATCACCCAAAACTGGAAACAACCTAGATGTCCTTCAGTGGGTGAATAACAGTAAGAAACTGGTACATCCAGACTATGGACTACTACTCAGCAATAAAAATAAATGAACTATTGATATAAGCAACAAGTGAATAATGCCGAGTGAAAAAAGCAATCTCAGAAAGTTACATACTGTATACTTTTATTTAAAAGATTCTTGAAATCACCTGGCTCAGTGGTTGAGTGTCAACCTATGAACCAGGAGGTCACAGTTCGACTCCCAGTCAGGGCACATGCCTGTGTTGCAGGCTCGATCCCCAGTGTGGGGCGTGCAGAAGGCAGCAGATCAATGATTATCTTCTCATCATTGATGTTTCTATCTCTCTTTCCCTCTCCCTTCCTCTCTGAAATCAATAAAAGCATATTTAAAAATTATTGAAATCACCTAATTATAGAGACGGGGAACAAATTGGTGGTTATGGGGCAGCTTGGGGGAGAGGGTGATGGACAAGAGGTGGGGATGTAAGTATGGTTATAAGAAGGTGACAAGAGGAATCCTTGTGTGTGTTAATTGATGGAACTGTTGTATCTTGACTGTGGATACATGAACTTGCACAGGTGATGAAATGACAAAAGACTAAATACATGCACAGTGATTACACAGGCTGTATCACAGGGGTTAAGGCTCAGACAGGCCCAGGGCTGGCATGGCTCCTACTGGTTTCTGTTATAGGGGTGGGAGCCAAAATTTTACCACTCCCCAGCCACTGGTAGGGAGGATGGGTAGTTCTCTGATTAGCTGAGGGGCAGTTTCCCCCAAGAGCTGGCCATTGAGAGCGGAGTGCTGAAGCCAGGACTCACTGGGGATTTCAGGAATTGATTTGTCTGTGTTTAGGGATCTGTGTGGAAGAGGGAACCTCCCCACCCCAGGATACAATGGGGTTGCCCACAGTCTGGGGTCTGGACTGAATGAGGACTAACTTTCTAATCTCGCTCTCAGGGTTGTCTAGGCCCAGAGTCCTTCTGACGTATTCTCAGAGGCCGTGAGCCCTGGCTGAGGCAGCCACTCAGACAGAAAGCAAACTATCGGGAGGCCAGGCCAGATGGCCAGATGCGATAAGAGGAAAAGTGAACTTATCTTGGATTCTCTGTCTCCTGGGGCACAGGTCCCAGCCAGATAGGCAGTGTAACTAACAGAGAGGATTTCGGGGCCTCATGGGCTCTCTGGGTGGCAGGCATCCTTTGGCTAATGAGCACTGTCCTCCCTAGGGCATGGGGATGGGACCTGACTGCATAGGACACCTCTCATTTCACATGTGTGAAACGTTACACAGGCCATCGCCTCCCCAGCCCCTTCCAACATCACACTCCAGCCATCCTGTGTTTCTCATACCCATTACACTTCCTCCCAGCTTTATACATGTTCTTTCTGCCTGGAAAGCTGCTCTCACCTCCTCACGTTTCAACTGTCACATCCTCAGAGAGGCCTCCTTTGATTGCCCTCTACTCTCATATCACTCAGGATCTCCATCAGAGGACCTATCACATTTGTCTTAGCTCATTTAGGGATTTGCTTGATGATTATAGGACTAGAACAGTGGGGGAACTCTTGTCTGTCTTGGCACAGCAGGTCGTAATCTCAGGCCAAGAGTAATACTTCAAGTACAGAATGCTCTCAATAAATATTTGTTGGATAATAAAATTAATCTCATCATTGATACAAACCCTGCACCCAGTTCCCAAAAGTCACAGTTATTTAGTGAAAGCTCCCAGCACTTTAGTATCCAAGGTTCTAACTGCCTCCCAAATTTGGACAATTTCAGTTTGGTCCTATTGACCTATCTGTGCAGTTTCATTTCCTGTCCTCCCACTCCCCAGCATGCTTCTTGCAGCATCAGAGAGCCAAATGCACTTTCCCAAACACAGCTCACTCTTCATGCACCCAAGCCTTTGCACATGCACTTGTTTCTGCCAGAATTCCTTTTCATGTCCTCCCTGATTCTCATACTTCAGCCAGTTCTTCACCCTCAGTTCTTTCTGGCTCAGGCAGAGTCTGCCCCTTTCCTCTCTTTGTGGGTCAGCTGGAGCACTCAGGGCTGTGGCCATGATTCTGAGTGTGTCCTGTGTGTGTCAGTGGACCAGTGTCCAGCCCAGAAATGTACAACCAACATTTGCCAATTAAACTTTAGAAGAAGCAAGTGCCCCAGAGACCCAAGATGTTGGACTTGGCCAGACTGTGACTATTGCCCTTCCTGCCCTAGGGAGACTTTGTATGTGCCACAATTAACCCCTTGGCACATAGGTCCAACTCTTTGTCCATTCACTCTGGAAGACTTTCAGATTTGCCTTGGAAGCCTAGAGGTGAACATCCCTCCAGTGTGACCATCTCCTCCAGCTGGTCCTTGTGTTTTATATTTTCAGAGATCCTGAATGAAGCATTGCTGAGCCTCAGCAGCATGTGTACACTGAACCACCACCCCCAGGAGCCACATGCTTCCCTGCCCCCATCGTGGCCATGCCAATCCCTCATGCCAAGGTTCAGACAGAAGCCAGTGTGTGACGCCTCCTCCATGCAGCCTGTCCTGGCCACAGACATCCAGCCCAGACTCCCTGCCCCACACTGTGTAAGTCCTTGCTTCTTCTAATGAGTCCTTTTGTCTCATTTCTGCCTCTGCCCCAAGATTTTATCCAGCAAACCTTATTTATTCTGCCAGAATAAATTCTGTTTCTGCATTTTGTTTTTTAATGCCAAGGTGTATAAGATGGCTAAACAGAGCTTCAGACGTTCAGAAGAGGGGCTATGACTGGAGGACACAGCAAACCCAGGGAGCTGGCCCCCTGCACGTGCCTTGGAGGCCAAGATGCACTTGCTAGTAGTCCTGAGGCCTAGCATAGCCCTTGTGCTTGCTGGTTCCCAGGGGCCCAAACTGGGCAGGGGACTGAAGAAGAGGTCTAGAATAGGGATGGATGCCGGGGACCACAGACTGTGGAAGCCATGACAGCAGGCTTTGCAGAAGAGGCAATGGGGCCCACTCAAGGCCCCACATGAAGGGACAGAGCTGGACAGAGCCAGAATTCCTTAAACTCTTTTTGCTGCCTCTGCCAACCTTAGGAATAGGCTTTGCAGAGGGAGGCTGAGGACCTATAAGATCCCATGCCCTCTCTCACTGCATAACCTGTCAAACCACACAGCTAAATCCAGCAACTCATTTGTATATGGTACAAATAGTACTGAAGACTCCCACCCATCCAGCCTCAAATTCCTCCCTCTTTCCCTTTGCTTCTTCCCCCAAAGCAGGGGAAGCTGGGAGAGAATTCAATTAGCTAGGTCCAGATCAGGGGCAGACTGCCTTCTCAGAGCCACTTTCCTACTGGCAGCCCATGTGACCCCCACTTTCCCACTGTGTCAGTCTGGAAGTCACATCCCTCACTGTGCCTTAAGAGTTAGCTTAGCTTCAAGTTATAACCAAGTGTTCTTTTCCTAGTCTCTTTAGTGCTGTGTTTTTCACATTTTTGTACTTTTTGTTGGTGATTTCTGTTTAAAATGCCCCCCTTCCCCAAGTGTAGCGCTGAAGTGCTGTCTAGTATTCCTTAAACAGAAACACACACAAAACAAGGTTACATGCTGATTGGTGGGTGAAAATCAATCAAGGCTTTCAGGTCCCTACATTTCCCCTAGGAGCAATGGTTCAATATTTGCTATCTCAGTGTTTCTGAGACTTTATGAACATAACTACCATGAATAATGAGAATTGACTATACTTTGGCCAAGTGAATCCTCCAAATGGGTATATGTGAGAGGTAGGTCTGTCATTACCCCACTTTAAGGTGAGGTTCAGAGAAGTGGAGCAACTCATCCTGGCTCATCTCCCAGCCTAGGCAGTGCTGGGGCTGGGGCTTGAACCCAGGTTGCCTGAAGGCTGACCACTACCTTGTACCCCATCCACTGCATTAACTCAAGTGAGGGTCACATGGAGGCAGCAGCCTTGGGTACGTTAATTGTTTCACTCAGCAAATGGGGTGAGATATCCAATATACTGTGTGTAGGAGCCAAGGAGATGACAGATATGATGATGATGATGATGCTTTGTGTAATCATGGGGTGGGTCCCTGTAACTCCTGTTACCATGGTTTCTGGATGAAGGAAAGAATGATCACTCCTTGGGACATCCTTTTGGGAAGACATTAAGGTTGTCTGGGTCTGGAAGGAGACACATTGAGTGACAAGGCAGTGCTTTCAGGCGAGGGGATCCTCTCTGAGCAAAGAAGCAGGGCAGCATAGCCCCAGATACAGGAAGACAGATTTGAGCAGGGCACAGCTTGGCAAAGTGGAGTTTAGATAATTTTAGCTGGTGAAGGGAAGATAGGGACAGAGGCAAGGAGGCCTGAGAGGGCTACCTCCTCTTAGATGAGGTCCGTGGCTTCCTGGAGCCACCTGGGCAGTGAAAACGGAGGCATCTTCCTTCTGCACCCAGAATCCCTCATAAAGTCCCCCTAAACTAGCCTGCAGTCAAGAGGATTTTACAGCATGCAGACCTGACAGCAGCTGGGAGGGTGTATCACTTCCTATTTCAATAGCCCAGTGCATTAGGCAGCGCTGGGTGAAGTGCTAAGGCCATGGCAAGCTGAGCATGTACAGCATGAATCTGAATCCTCTCCTCCCCCACATTGGCCTAACTCTCCAAGAGGGACACCATGCACTCAGTTACATACTCCAGAAGCCTGGGAATTTGCACTCCCTCTTCCTCCTCCTCCCAGACAAAAGCACATCTAACAGGGACCTGCTTCTTTCATCCCCAGCAGACTGGTCTAGGCTTCCACCTTCTACCCCTGGCCTCCTTGCTTTGCTTGTGGCCCAACCCACCCATAACCACTCTCCAAACAGCAGTCGGAGGAATTTTTAAAATATAAATTGAGCCGAAACCGGTTTGGCTCAGTGGATAGAGCGTCGGCCTGTGGACTGAAAGGTCCCAGGTTCAATTCCGGTCAAGGGCATGTACCTGGGTTGCGGGCACATCCCCAGTAGGAGATGTGCAGGAGGCAGCTGATCAATGTTTCTCTCTCATCGATGTTTCTAGCTCTCTATCTCTCTCCCTTCCTCTCTGTAAAAAATCAATAAAATATATTTTAAAATATAAATTGAATTGCTTCCTCCCCTTTCTAAAGCTTTTCAGAGGCTCTCTACTTCATGAAGAAGAGACTCCACATTGCCTACGTCGGCCTACAATAGGAACTGACCCGTGCCCTCCTTCTCCAGCCTCAGTTCCTGCACTTTGCCCTCGCTCATTCCATTCCAGCCTCACCAGCCTCTTGCTATTCCTCACTCTAGACACGCACCTACCTCAGGATGTTTGTACTTGTTATTCTCTGTTTGAAGTAATTACCCCCCCGCCCCACTGCATGCTTATTTTCTCTCTGCCACCTTTCAGAAATGGTTGTTTTTCAAACAATTTATGATGCTCAGTGCTTAGGGTTTGTTGAGCTCTCATTCTCATGATCTCATGCCCAATATTCTTTTTTAAATATATTTTATTGATTTTTTACAGGGAGGAAGAGAGAGGGATAGAGAGTTAGAAACATCGATGAGAGAGAAACATCGATCAGCTGCCTCCTGCACACTCCCCACTGGGGATGTGCCTGCAACCAAGGTACATGCCCTTGACCGGAATCGAACCTGGGACCCGTGAGTCCGTAGGCCGACGCTCTATCTGCTGAGCCAAACCGGTCAGGGCCTCATGCCCAATTTTAAGCAGAGTTGCTCAATTCTTCCTCCTACCAGACTGTGTGTGTCTCTGTATGTTGCTTATTCTCATCCTGATTTCAGGTCTCAGCTCAGATGTCACGTACTCAAATGAGGGGCTCGCTGACCACCATATCTAAAACTGTTATGCTTTCTCTGAGAATCCTGTTTGTTTTATTCAAGTACTGATCAACTGATTGGTTCACTTGTCTTTTGCCTCTCTTGCCTACCAGATAAGGATCCTGAGTATCTTTTTTTTTTTTTTAAATATATATATATATATATATATATATATATATATATATATATATTTTTTTTTTTTTAAATATATTTTATTGATTTTACATAGAGAAAGGGAGAGGGATAGAGAGTTAGAAACACTGATCAGCTGCCTCCTGCACACTCCCTACTGCGGATGTGCCTGCAACCAAGGTACATGCCCTTGACCAGAATCGAACCTGGGACCCTTCAGTCCGCAGGCCGACGCTCTATCCACTGAGCCAAACCAGTTAGGGCAAGGATCCTGAGTATCTTAATACAGGTCCCCACCCTTGGAGACCTTAACTATCACATAAAATTAGGACGCCTTCTTAGCACCAGGCCCAATATATTGCTGGGCTCAGTATTTATTGAATGAATGAACAAATTCCTATATGATAGCTGGGTAAAATGAGACTCAGGGAAACTGAATGATTTACTTCTGACTCTTAAGTTGGCTCAGACTTTGAACTCCCTTGAGGTCAGCCTCCAACATACTCATAGACAGACACACACACACAATCTGGTGGGAGGTAGAGCCTTGAGCAATTCTGCTTAAAGTTGGGCAGTGAGACTGTGAGAATGAGAACTCAACAAATGTAGAGAAGCTCAAGACTTGGTTGGAAAGTTTCTAAGGAGGAAATTCCAACCAAGAGAAGTTGGCTGAAGGTGACTGCCCCTAATTATTCCTTGGCCTTTCCAAACAAGTCTGTATATGTGTGGATGGGCCCTTGGGTATTTACTGGAATATTTTTTTAAAATATATTTTATTGATTTTTTACAGAGAGGAAGGGAGAGAGATAGAGAGTTAGAAACATCGATGAGAGAGAAACATCAATCAGCTGCCTCCTGCACATCTCCTACTGGGGATGTGATCACAACCAAGGTACATGCCTTTGACCGGAATTGAACCTGGGACCCTTCAGTCCGCAGGCTGACGCTCTATCCACTGAGCCAAACCGGTTTCGGCTTTACTGGAATATTTATGTGTAATCTTTAGATGTCCTTGTTTAAAGGACACTGCAGACGCATGTGTCCTCCCAAGATTACTTACCCTACTGATTGTATATCTAAAAGATAAATTTTATCCCAAACTGCTGTTACAATAAAAGCCTGAAGAGGCAGGCGAATGGGGCTTTCTGGTCCCTCTAGCCAGGCAGTCCCTTAGCCTTCTCTTTCACAGCACACCTGTGTCAGAGTAATCATTCATCTGTCACTCAGGGTCTGCTGGTCAGCTCTGGCGAACAAATCCTAACCGCTGAGCATCAGAAGTTGTTTGAAAAATAACCATTTCTGAAAGGTGACAGAAAGAGAAAGTAAGCAGTGCTTCCAGCAACATTTTCCAGGCAAGGCATATCATATGTACAGATTTAAAAGCATCATTACTGAGTGAGTCCTGGGCCAGGTGCTACTTTACTCCAGATACAGGCCTAGTAGGGGAGATATTTATCACTGATGTTTTATAGATGAGTGGCAGTGTTACAAAAGCTCTGCTTTGTGAGGCCACACTGCAAGGTTCTAAACTCAACACTGGCCATGGTGGGCTGTGTGTCTGACTACCTGACACAGAGTCTGATCCTTTTTGAGCCTTAGTTTCCCCAGCTGTAAGCTAAGTGGACTGGCTTTGGATGGAGGTCACAGTTTAAATGTCTACAGGAGACCAGGCATCTAACCCCTTCTGGCCCAAAGCTGCCATGTAGAGATGTGGGTCCAGCATTGTTAGAGCTACCAAATGTGTGCAAAAAGCCAGAATTTTGGACTTACAAAAATAAACAAACCTCTGAATTTTAAAATGGAGTTAGTTAATTCAAAGTTTTAAAAAATATTGTGCAGGTCCATGCTTGTCACCTACCATGGCCTGTGGCACACAATTTGTGACTGCTAGAGCAGCTGCCCTCAGACCTTCTTGCTCCTTCTGAGGCTCTAGCCCCTCTCCCCCTGCTCCCAGAAAGCCTGTCTATAAGAGCCTCTTCCTTGAAAAGGCAGGAGACCCTTGGGAACCTTGAAATTGAGGCAGTCAGGAGGTGCTTCTGGTGGTGTTCAAGTCCAGTTGGGTGAAAGAAGAGAAAGCCCCTTCTGGGTGGCAGGCCAGGTCTGGTTCAGGCTCTTGGCACCAGGACATAGGTGGCAGGAGAGCCCCATCTGGAGCACAGATGACCATTCCCCATAGGCCTGGTGCAGCTGCCTAAAAGGGACATGCTTGGTTGCCAGGGCCACATTCTCTGACCCTCTAGAGACAGCTGCTCTTCAGAAGCATTGTTCACACCCCAGTTGGGATCAAGGGTGTGAGGGTTTTTGTCCTGACATGTTCAAGCCAGAGGGGCTATAGGAAGGGATTAAACAATGCTCCCCACATGAACCCTACAGTTCAGGTCAGGTGGTTCTCAGAGGATGGGGAGCTGCTCATCAAAAGACTTCACAATCTTCAGAGCATTATTCCTGACTGAGGACTAGCCATGAACTGACCTTGAAATAAGTGCTTTAATTAATGAACTGACCTTGCATTAAGTGCTTTAATTATATTAGCTCACCAACTCGTCACCAGGCTTATCACTTCCATTTTAAAGAGGAGAAAAGTGGGGCTCAAAGAAGTGACTAGCCTAAGGTCACAAAAAAGGATCTGAGCTCAGTCTTTCTGATTTAGAGCCAGCTGCTGTTAGCTACTGCTTCACCACACTGCCCTGTTAGGTGATACCTAGCAGGATGTGGTTGAGCTCTTGGCTAGGCCAGTTCTCCTGTCAGGGCTACTATGGACCCCTATCCCTGGGTTTGATGATTTTCTCTGAATGAGTTAGATGATGGAAGCCTCTGTCTCTGCTGGCCATGGGGGCAGAGGCCTGGTACCCCCTAGACCAGAACCTGAGCACATGGAAGAGAAAGGTTTTCGGTCCTGCCTGTGACCTTGGCTGCCCACTGTCCCTTCCTCAGGCCTTTCTTCAGATGTGTGGTCCCAGACATCCTCTCATCAGAAATACCAAAACCCCTGACATGTGTTTCCCAGTCACCTAGGACATCCCCAGCTTGGAGAAGTCTCACTACAACCTCTAAGTAAAGTTCAGAGAGGTGAGGCACTTGTCCCATGTCACATAGTTGGCCTTGGATGGAGGTCACAGTTTAAATCTACAGGAGACCAGGCACTTGAGATCAAAATAAGTATGTGGAGCTTCCAAATTCCAGGGCTAGAGGAGTGGTCCTAGGAGACTGTAATTCCAGTGATTTTAAACCAGGTTCTGGAAGCCCCCAAAGGGCCGGGGGTTTCTGGGAGCAGCACCATTTTCCGTTTTAAATCCATACAGAATGCCTACATGGTATTTTGAGGACTACTAGATTAATTTGACCTCCTCATAGTACAAACAAGAAAACTGAGGATCTGAAAGGCAAATCCCTGAGGATCAGGTGGCAGAGCCAGGAACCTTACCTGAGGTTCTGAATGTGGGTATGTTCCCTGTCTGCAATCTGTGCCCCCCCAACGGGGAAGGAAGTTGCCTTTAGGTTCCCAGCCTGACTTCAGAGGTCAGGAAGGCCCATGAGAGCTCTGCCCTCTCTAACTCCTGATCAGAAGTCCCCAAATAGCATTCTGTTTCTCAAAAATCACTACTACTGCAACCTGCCAGGCAACATTTACCCCTTGCCCATTTTGTGTTGGAATCTGCCACAACCATCGTCTTATTTATCCTTAGAGACCCACCTGCGGAGTTGGCTCTGTCAACAGCTCTGCTCAAGGGCCCCTGCCCTACTCCCCAGGACACCTTATTACCACCACCCCTGGGGGTCCAAGCTTAAGAGATGCCAGCTTCCAAGCTGTGGTTATTGGATCATGATTTTTCTCATACATTACAGCTGTAACTACTAGTAGTGGGTGCTGATGAATTGGAGAAGATGGCCAGAGTTACTGGCTGCTAAGGCTCCAGTCTAATGCAAAAACTTGACGTATACAGCCCCTGTCTGATCTGGTGAGGTAGTGGGAAGGGGGGTGAGGGGTGAGAATGCAAGATTTGGCTTTAAAAATACTATTTGAGCCCTATCCGGTTTGGCTCAGTGGATAAAGCGTAGTTCTGTGGACTGAAAGGTCCCAGGTTCAATTCCGGCCAAGGGCATGTACCTTGGTTGCGGGCACATCCCCAGTAGAAGGTGTGCAGGAGGCAGCTGATCAATGTTCCTCTCTCATTGATGTTTCTAACTCTCTATCCCTCTCCCTTCCGCTCTGTGAAAAATCAATAAAATATATTTAAAAAAATACTATTTGGCTTTTAAAATGCTGGTTCTAACATGTGGACCTTGTTGCTGCCTTTCAAAAGCCCTATGGTTCCAGGAGCCTAGCTTGGGAAGTACTACTTAGAAGAGCCTCATAAAACTACCCTCACTTCTGGAGGGCTGGTCTCAAACCCTGGTGATGGATCACAAAAGCCTGGCTTTTTACAAGCTGTCACAGGCCCCTGTGTCCAGTGTGCAAAGCCAGACACTGCCAGATCCCACACACCCTGATTGCTGGCTCCTTTCATCATTCTGAATGACCAAGCGTATCCCAGAATAGAAAGACGGTGTTAACAGGCCCATTCACTGTGTCTAGAGTGACAGGTGGCATATCGGGTGACAGAATCAGAAGCCAAGAACCCTGGGCAGAGATGGGATGAAATGAACAGTACAGAATTGAATGGGGAAAACCATGAGTTCAGTTCAGGTCAACACAGGCAATGTTGAGTGCCTTGATGCCAGGGCTGGGGACAGATACACAGGAAGGAACAAGACCTCATCCTCAGAGCTTATATTAAGATCCTGGGTGTGGAACCCCAAGTAAGAATTACAAAAGAAGGCAGCATGTGTGGAAAAATGCCTTCACAGCTCTTGCCTACCACAGACACATGGTCTGAGACTGCGCTACAGAAAAAAGTGCAGGATCAGGGAGGGGGCAGCCTCCACTAAACTCTGGATAATGTGGGTACTGTTGGTGATTCTGGAAAAGGGACATTGCCAAAGTGGAGCCTGACAAGAAGAGGGCAATCCACATGGGGACAAGTTTCAAATCCATCCCATATGACAAGTGCTTATTTACAGAGGGGAAACCATACTTTGGGCACTGGGTAGGCACTAAGGACACAGGGTGAGTAATCCTTGTCCTCAAGAAACTCACAATAAAGGACAGAAGCCACAATGAAATGCCTCCTCTACCAACTGGGTGTAGCCACATGGAGCAGCATTGCATGAGAAAGCCTGGGACTGACTGAACAAGAGAACTGTGACTGATTAGTGATGTCTGTTACAGATTTGCTACAAATGGGGTGTGACACATGTGAACTGTGAGTCACAACTAGTCTTACACAAGGGTGGGCTTAGAGCAGCCGTGGGCAAACTACGGCCCGCGGGCCTGTTGAAATGAATAAAACTAAAAACAAAAAAGACTGTACCCTTTTATGTAATGATGTTTACTTTGAATTTATATTAGTTCACACAAACACTCCATCCATGCTTTTGTTCCGGCCCTCCGGTCCAGTTTAAGAACCCATTGTGGCCCTCGAGTCAAAAAGTTTGCCCACCCCTGGCTTAGAGAGACTGAAGTAGTGGTCTGGAAGAGAGAGGCACTTCGGAAAGGCATGGCTATTGTCCTCAAATACCCAGAAGACAATCAACATATACACATAGTTACAGGTTGTCACACTACAACCAGAGGGGGGACGGGAAGGTGGAGGTTGTTAAGGGGAAGCAGATTTTTCTTTATTATTAGGAGGCACTTTCTAAGAAGCAGAGCTGCCTAGGAGATGAGGCTAGAGCCAGGGGTGGGCAAACTTTTTGACTCGAGGGCCACAATGGGTTCTTAAACTGGACCGGAGGGCCGGAACAAAAGCATGGATGGAGTGTTTGTGTGAACTCATATAAATTCAAAGTAAACATCATTACATAAAAGGGTACGGTCTTTTTTTTTTTTTTTTAGTTTTATTCATTTCAAACGGGCAGGATCCGGCCCGTGGGCCGTAGTTTGCCCATGGCTGGTAGACACAAGCATGATGGAGATGCTAGAGATGGACTCAAACAAAACACCCATGGGTATGATCTTTAAGACTTCTTCCTGCCAGAAATGTTTGTTCTTTCTCTGCCCTCCTACTTCACACCCCGTTCTGGATGTAACATCAGACATCATTTTTGTGTATGTGACATTCATAATTCAAGTTTTGTTTTGTTTTTGCCTCCAAAGAACTGTTACCAATAGGCAGAAAAGACAGAGAAAATTGTTCACACAGCCTAGCTACACGGGAAATGATGTGAGGACTAACACCAGGGCCTCAGACAGCACAGTAAGCACTTAAAACACCTTTCTCTGGGAAGTCTGGCAGTCCAGAGCCCCCCCACCTGAGATGATAAACTAATCCTCAGAATATGTGCTCAGCTGATACTTGCATCCCCCCAATACCTGCTGCTGACATACAGGCATGGCCAGTAAGTTAGGAGTCCTTGAGCATAAGCACTAGTTCCTGCACTCACTCACTGTATGACTTAGGTTCCCTGGGCCTCAATTTCTCTCATCTATAAAACGTGAACAGTACTAGCTTGCCCTGTCCATTGCCCTAGAACTGCTGTGAATCACTTGAGTACACAGGGAGGAAAGGCCTTGGCAGGTGAGGAAATGTCATTACAATCACTTGAGAGGCCCACACATCTCCTTAGCAAGGGGCCTGCAGAGCAACTGCCCAGTCCCAGCCCTAAAGAGATTCCACAAACCAGAGGCTGTGGATTACTGGCTGGGGAAGAAGTAAGGGTTCATATCCCTTTACGGCAGTGGTCGGCAAACTCATTAGTCAACAGAGCCAAATATCAACAGTACAACGATTGAAATTTCTTTTGAAAGCCAAATTTTTTAAACTTAAACTATATAGGTAGGTACATTGTTATTAACTTAATTAGGGTACTCCTAAGCTGGCCTTTGCTAAAAACGTTCTCAATCTGAAGGGTCGACCTCAGCGAATGTACCCCCACTTCTTCTAATGACACTTCTTCAAAATAGACTCGCCCAGGCCGAAAACCGACTTCTGTGCATGGGCCATGAAGTTTCAATCGCTCTGTACATGCGCGCCCGCATGTGGTATTTTGTGGAAGAGCCACACTCAAGGGGCCAAAGAGCTGCATGTGGCTCGTGAGCTGCAGTTTGCCGACCACTGTTTCAGGGTGTTGACTACTGACATGCCTGTCTTACCAGGCATCCCTCTAATTTCTCTCCACTACCCTCTTCATGCCAACACACCAGGCGCTCAGCTTCCAGGCTTTTGCACTGGCTGCTTTCTGCCTTTACCACCTCCCTAATTCTTCCTCCTCCTTCAGGTCTAAGGTCCAGCATTACTCTCTCAAAAAAAGCCTTTCCTGCCCAGCCAGCATGGCTCAGTGGTTGAGCACTGACATATGAACCAGGAGGTCACAGTTCAATTCCAGTCAGTGCACATGCCCAGGTTGCAGGCTCGATCCCCAGTAGGGGACATGCAGGAGGCAGCTGATCAATGATTATCTCTCATCATTGATGTTTCTATCTCTCCCTCTCCCTTCCTCTCTGAAATCAATAAAAAATATATTAAAAAATTTTAAAAAGCCTTTTCTGACTCCCCCCCGCACCTTGGTTCCCCTCATTGGGTCAATACCCTAAGTTTAGATGTACCACAGGCTCTTGCCATCACACTGTTTTATAGGCCTCTCCCTTTTTATTTATTATTATTTTTTAATCCTCACCCAAGAATATTTTTTTCAATTGATTTTTAGAAAGAATGGAAGGGAGAGGGAGAGACAGAAAGAAACACCAATGTGAGAGAGACACAGTGATCGGTTACCTCCTTGCATGCCTCCAACCAGGGCCAGGAGCCTGCAACTGACATACATGCCCTTGACTGGAATCAAACCGGGGCCCTTCAGTCTGCAGGCCAATGCTCTATTCCTGAGCCAAACTAGTTAGGGCAGGCCTCTCCCTTTAGATCTGAGCCCATGAAGAAAGGATCCACCTGGTTTCCATACTGGCCCAGAAGAGGTACCCAGGCAAATGCCTGCTGACATGAGATAGGGCCCTATCTTTGACTTTGCCCCAAAAGAGGTACAGTCCTGCAGGGCCTTTCCCCTGGACTACCCTAAGGATGCAGCAAGTAGAGAAGTCTGTAAGAAGCAACTTGACAAGCAGAAGGCAGAGGTGCTGGGACAAGTCACGGGTACAGGCTTCTCCCTCACACCCCTACCTCTTTCTACTCGATTTTTTTCCCAACCACCTCTGAGAACACAACATCCTGACATTTGGGATGAACTCTGAAAGAATACCTATTCAAGGGAAGGTCACCAATCTCCCCACCCTATCCATAGAATCCTGCCCCCACAGTGGCACAATGTTAGGCACACTCTAAAAACTGGCTGAGGCCTGGCTGGGTGGCTCAATTGGTTGGAGTGTTGGGCCTTACACCATAGGGTTGCGGGTTTGATTCCCGGTCAAGGAACATACCTAGGTTGAGGGTTCGATCCCTGGTCAGGGTGCATACAGGAGACAACTGATCTATGTTTCCCTCTCACATCGATGTTTCTTTTTCCCTCCCTTCCTTCCCTCCCTAAAAAAAATCAATGAACATATTAGTAGCTAATAGTCATAGCTATTGATGTTGGTGTTTGCTCAGGAATTGGTGGCTACTACAGTAGACCAATCACACTGTCCAAGATCCTTATATCTGAGTCTTATATTTGACCCCCACAAGATGTTTTCACCATCTCCTCTTGTGCTGTTGAGGAAACAGCCTCAGAGAGACTGAGGGATTTGCTCAGCATCACAGAGCAAGTCATGTTCTATTTGCTGAGAGCAACCCCTACAGGTTTCAATACCCAGAGTTCAACTTTCACAGCATCTAGTCTCACAAGAAACAAAAATACAAGCTTACTAACAAGCAAGACCAACACACACATTCCTACAAAGCTTAGAAGCCACTGTGAAAGAGAAGTCTGGTCTCTCCTTTCTGCTGGAGGAATCTGGCTAGAGTGC